GTCAACTTTCCGCTGACGCCCAGATAAGGCGCTAGTTCTAAGAAACCAGGCCTTGAGCTAACAAACCAGTATTTTGTTGGCGTCAGCGGGACGTTGACGTCCCGCTGACGCCCAGATAAGGCGCTTGTCCTAAGAAACCAGACCTTTACACTTCATTTATGTCTTGATTTTAATTTTCTTTAATTTGTTGTAAGTTCGCGATCTGTTAATTTATAAATGACAGAAAACTCTTATGAACAGTAAAATTACGGGTAAATTAAAACACAAATTACAATAATAGAACTTCCTAAGAATATTAAGCCTGTTCACACATCGCCTCGTAGGCGGAGGGATACACAGGAAGTTTTCTAAATTTCTTCCGGTTTTAGGATGCTGGTTATTGTTTACATTCAGTCAACCATTCATATAGTTTGTCTAAAGTAAGAACTCCCCTTGCCATTCGCCTGGACGATGACTATGGTACCTAGGTATAACTATTTCAAGTACGTGTGCGCGGTCATTGTTTAGGACAGGTTTTGGTTTGGATCTGCGATATAAAGGGAATCTTTTTCTGCGTTCTATTGTGACAGCCCTAGAGTGAAGAGAAGCTACCCTCTCTGAAATGCGCTATTCTTGTTACCATTGCAGTAGACTTTGTGGCAGGGGGAGTTCTTACCGTAGACAAAACTCTAGTCAATGAGAATTCCGCTTCAGCAGATTGCGCCACTTGAGAAGCAAATACAGTAAAACAACTTACCAGTCTTGCTGGCCTCCTCGATAAGCTTAGCAATCATTTCATCAGTCAGACTGATTCCTAATTTTTCCAGCATACTTTTTAATTCTGTTTCATTGATGCGGCCATCTTGATTTCGGTCTAACATTGCGAAAGCAGCCTTCAACTCTGAAAAAAAAAAAACATTTTTCTTTAATAATTGGTCGTTGAAAAATAAACTTAGAATACAATGTGAATGTAATGTTAGAATGTAAGAAAGGGAATGTTAAAACTTTATAAAATTGAGGGAATATATGCTTTCGCGCAAATTTTTTAATGTTTTAAGGCTTGTGAGACTGAGTTTCGTACTAATAGCGCAAGTTGGACTAACCTATGACCAGACCTGGGCTAGATCAGTAGCATACCGTTCTTTACAACATCGAACTCTAGTTTTCCATTCCAAGGCCGTGTGCAATATCTTATCTTAGTATGGTCCAGCTGGCTAAGAAATCGACTTCTGCCACACCCGTTTATAGGGTTCATATATCTATTCATTCATCCACAGATCGTAATTTTGACTAGAACCAGAGAACGATCGCTTTCCAATTCAGTACCCCCAGAGGTTTAAATTGATATCAGGTGAAAGATTTATTCGATAAATGTCTCTAAAATATATCAACCCAGATTAAACTTATTATTACAATAATATGACTTACTCAAACATATAAAATTTGTAATATAGGATAGATAAAAAAAAATCTTCATAATTTATTCGTATTTTTAAATTTAATTTGAAACTTAAGCCTGAAAAGAAAAAAAAAATGAAATAAATTGTTAGTTCTTATAAATGGATAGATCGAAACTTCTAAATATCTAATCAGTTTCTTCGAAATATATAATCTAATCAGAATATCTAACTAGATAATCAGATAATTTCAGATCAAAATTCAAGCGTAGCATTTTAAGATTTAGGTATCTCTATGTTTATGTGAAAATCCGATTATTATATCAAAAATTATTCATAGTGTCCACTTTTTTTTTAACATTAGTTTTTTCATTTTGAGTCTTTAAGCTGTGTTATCGGCTTGCAAGTGTCTTTTAAAAAAAAAATATTTCGTTTGTTTATTAAAATAATAATTCATTGTAAATAATATTTACCTGTTATTTGACTAGTAGTCAAATTGGGCCGAGAATGATCCTGAAAAAAAAATAATAATAATATTTTTAAAAATCGAAACTAAAAATGTGATAAACAGAATTGCCTCGAAGCAGTTTAAATCACAAACATGCAATAATTTAAAAACATATAATAATATTATGAAAGAATAGTAGTTCTGGAAATTCAAGAAATGTTAATAGATTTTCAATATTTTTTCACTGTTTTTTTTATACATTAATGGTTAGTTTTTTTATACTAGAAAGAAATTAAAACATTCTCCAATTCACTGAAAAAGTGCAGCTTTTGTAAAGTAACAGAAGTGGGGTATATTTACGCTTTTATATTACTTATTTTCATATTCTTTTTTCCCTTTGTCATCAAAATAGGTACAAACAGGCGAGCATAACAATAATCATTATTATTTTTAAATGTTATTAAAACACAGTTACATTTCCAGCCAATTTCCTTCTCTTCCTCTGTTTTATCTTCAGTTGGTGCATAGGAACAGATAACACTGAAATTAAGGAACTTATTTTTAATAATTTTTTTCTTCTCTTTTCATTAATCTTTTATTATTTTTCATGTTTTCTCTCCATTTTTAACTTTTATACAGCTTTATTGTTTTTATGCGATCGAAACCGGTTTGCACTTATTTACGTTCGGACATCAATTGGTTAAATTAGGCGATATATAATATAGATTGGAGGATTCAATATATTAGACGATATATTACATAAATACAGAATATTTATTATATCAGGTATTACATTATTAAATTGTTATAATTAGACCAAGTGATTAGACGCACTGTAGTGTTTTAATAATTGCGTGTTTTGCACGAGTTTATCGGCAATACTTTTATATTTAAAACATACATGTAATGGATTGTCATTCAGGAGATTTTCAATATAGTACTTCCTATTTGTATTTATTTTGAACGTATTTCGTTACAATGTTAACCAATTGATACACGAACTTAAACAAGTACAAACCGGTTTCAGTCACGTAAAAACAATAAAGTTTTTATAATATCACCTGATAATTAAGATTTTAAATAGAACATAGTGCGTGTAATAATTCGTCCAGGGACTATACGTTAAAAATGCTAATATTTATTTTTGTTTAAAAAGTAAACAATGATTCACCCGGCTTTTGCGAGGATACCTCTGATCATCAATCATTCACGCCATAAATTTTCAAACAATTTCTTTTATTTATTGTTTGAAAAATACTTTAACGCACATAAAAGTAGTGTTAAAAATGCTTTTATTCACATTTTAAAAAAAAACAATAGTAGTGGTATTTTCCTTTAAAAGTTAGCAGAATCATTTTCTTTTCAATAGCAAGCAACGTTTGAAATCGAAACAATTCATTGATATTTGTCGATTTACGACCCAATTCACGACTGTTCTAACAATCGCTGTCGTATGCACTGAAAATGTTTCAATCGTCTATTCGTGTCTGTTTCAGTAGTCAAAAAGAATTTGATGCGCTGGAATTACGCCTTCGATTCGTCAGAATTAAATAAGTTTTTGTTTCTTAAGAGGACGCCTTACCCAGATAAAAAACCAGATAATTTGACCTTACTTATTTGATTTAACCTTACCCAGATAATTTGAAACTTCTAGTGTGCATGCTTTTTTTTTATTACTTAATTTTTGTGAAAAATTACTAAAATTACATGATAAGAACAGTTGGGAAGAAGATTTCTATGTCGGTACCTGCGCCAAAATAATCGCCAAGTTTTGGCATTTCATAGTATGTGACCCGCGCGAAAAAAAAATCACACAAAAGGATCAAATCTAAGTATTCCTATCCATATATGTTTTATATATTTGCAAGTTTGAGCCGCGATGCCACAGGGGATAGAGCGTTCGCTTTTCAATGAGACGAACCGGGTTCGAATCCCAGTGAGAGCTGGTCGATACGAATCCGCATCTGGCTTGCACAGACCACTGTGTTGACGTGAAATATCCTCAGTGGTAGAAAGATCATGGGTTAGAGTTCCTTCACAGTCAGGCTAACCGTGGGAGGTTCTCGTCCTCTCCATGTAACGCAAATGAAGGTTAGTTCCATTAAGAAAAAGTTCTCCACGAAGGTAAATTTCTCCCAATACTTAATCTAGGAGTTCCCTTGTCTTCTGGATTGGGTTCAAAATGTCAAGGCTACGGAGTTGAACATTAGTAGTCGTCAATTCGAAAATTGGGATCGGTCGTTCAACGTCGGATATAAAATAAAATAAAATATTTGTAAGTTTTTAATTTCAGTTGCGAATTATCTAAAATAATTTCATTTTGAGCCTTTGTGGCTCAGATGATGGAGCTCTCCCCTTCCATTAAGGTGAACCGAGTTCAAATCCCAACGATGGCTAGTCGATTCGAATTCCGCACCCGGCTTGCACCGACCGCAGTGCTAGACGGATCATGGGTTAGAGTCCTCTTGCAGTCAGGCTAACCGTGGGAGGTTTTCGTGATTTTTTCTCTCCATGAACGCGAATGCGGGATAGTTTCATCAAAAAGATGAGGCAAATTTTTCCCAGGAGCTGATCCAGGAGCTCCCTTGTCTTCTGGATTAGGTTCAAAATTATATGACTACGGAGTTGAATATTAGAAGTCCTGAACCCACGGTTGGTTAGGCTGTTCAATGTCAGTTAAAAAAAACTCTACGCTTTATATTTTAATATATCTGCAAGTTTGAAATACCGTTGACGCTAAGCGATTGTAGTTAACACGAACAAGTTAACTAGAAGGAACATCTTAAACTTATTTTTAAAAAAGGAGCTATCTTTGAATTTCAGTTGCGAATTATTTCCATCAACTTAATTAAAAAAAAAAAGGATATTACGTTAAAAAAGTCATATGGAAAAAAAAAATTTTTATAACAAGTAGACTCCAGATAGTATATCTTATGCGGCAAGAGAATTAAAAAAATTTTTTAAAAATCACCTCAGAAATTATAATTTTTAAAACGTCATGGAATCAAAAGATTTGAATCCTTAGACAATTCAATTTCTTAAAAGAAAATCTTCATTTACCTAAACATGCATTCTAAACAAATATAGTTCAAGCGTTTATTAAAAAAAAATTTTTAGGTGAGTAATTAAAATTTTTTCTTTTTGTCTTGTTTCAAAAATTCAATAAATCCGGTTTGTTGGCTTATAAAATATATTTGAGTGAAACTTATCAAAACGACAGTTAAACGTCAAAACGGAGGTTAAAGAATTTTGTAGTTAAGTAAATGTTACGAAGATTCCAAGATGGAGTTAAAAAAAACGCCAAGATTTCAAGAAAGTTGAAGTCAAGATTTCAAGATGAAGTTCAAAAATATAGTTTTGACTTCCAATTCAGAATGAAACTAATACATGTTCGAACTTTATTTTAAATAATTAATTTTTCAAAATCATAATAATGTATTCAAACGAAAAGACAATATATCAACTTTTGAGAATAATAAGATCTGGTATAAACATAAGTTTATATTGTATAATTTCACCACCTTTACATTGCTTTACAATTTATGTGATACGATAATAATTTTTCATAAAAATCTCCATATTTTAAAATTGAGCTGCAAATAGAATCGCGCACATTTTCAACAAAGACTGAAATTGAAAACATAGGAGTCTTTCATTACATTGAGAGAACCAGTTCATTATATGGAGAATATTTTGAATGTTAATTGCCCCATGGCAGAGACATGGCGACACTGTCCCTAAAGAGTTCTTGCAGAAAGATTTTTATTTTGAAAAAAAATTTTTTTTTTCTTTTCTACAAAAATTTACACCCAATATTTGAATCATGCATTTACATAATCACTTTTTGACGGGCTCAATTTACGCCGATAGTATAAGTAATCGATGTACATGTTTCGATTGTATTAGCACTATTAGAGCGACAAATGCGAGAATAGCACCCATACTATTAGAATAAAAATTATTACATGTTCAATTATAAAAAATTACTTAGTTTTTTCATATAAACACAGCGTTTTTGTTATTTTAAATGAGTAACATATATGTTTGTTATTATTAAAAGTATCTTGCAGAAAGATGTTAGTGCTAGAGAGGTTTGACGCAGATAGCTGGAAAAAATTCTACTTAGGGGTTAATTGATGCCCCGATTAAAAATTTGGCTACAGAGAGACTCAACTAAATTGCACTGAGCAAAAGATCATTATATCTATAAATAACGATTTGTAAACAAACAATTAGCACACAGAATTAAAAAAATAAATAAATAAGCGTTATAACGTTACCATGCATGCCAATTAGTGAACAAAAAGAGTGGAAAATTAGTAAGGGAAAAAAACACATATACTATAAAAATTCGTTTGAATTTAGGATTGACTTTGATATCAGCAGCATAGCAATCTTTTTGTTATTCAATTATTATCTACAAAAACTTTCCAATCGCTACTTGAAAATGTAGACAATTAAAAGATAAACAACTCTCAAATATCAATGATAATTTAATTCCCCTCCTAGGAGTAGAGTGTGAGAGAGGAGGAAAGAATGAATTACTTTACCAGGAAAGTATTTTGACGAATATATTTGGAATATATTCTCGGAATATATTTTGGTCAGAGATCAAGAAAAACTACATTTTCTTCGTAGTCAACTACAACTACTTTATTACAATTGTAGTTAACGACAATTACTTTTTTAAATTGCAGCGATTACGAACTACTTTCGAATGTAGTCATTACTTCGATACTTTTAAATGACAAGCTTAACTGGAGAACTTAATTTTGACAAAAATATTCAAAATGATTTTGAATAAAAAAAAATTGGCTTGTTTAAATAGGAGGAGATATTGAGGAAGTTTTAATTCATGTTTATATAGAATAGTTCTTTAATCCAAAGCACTCTTTACGAATTTGTTCCTTTAACTGTCAAACTCTATGCTTTTCTCAACAATGATTTAGGAAATGCTATGAAATTATCAAATATTTATGATTTAAGTGATCAATGCTTTTTTATATCCTCTGGAAAATAAAGTACAGGGCGAAAAACAAACAAAAAACGGACCACCCTGAATAAC